CGTGGCGTGCGTGACGACGAATGAGATGCGCATGCGAACGGTGTTTGCGTTTCTTGAGGCTGTTGAGCCACTTGTGCGCGGGAACGTGGGCCCACCCGGTACGGAGCTCCGCAACGGCAAGAAGCTCCTGCAGCAGAAGATGGATTTCTACAACAACCCTCAGAACGATAAGATTACGGCGCTGAATGACGACATCAACCAAGTAGTAGACGTCATGATGGATAACATGGATAAGGTGCTTGCCCGCGGTGACCGCATTGACACTTTGCACGAGAAGTCAAACACGCTAGCGGACCAGGCAGAACAATTTAAGCAGCGTTCGACGCAGTTGAAGCGGAACATGTGTCTGAAGAACCTCAAATTGACGCTTATGATTGCCGGCGTGGTGGGCATCGTTATTCTTATTATTGTCATTATTGCCTGCAAGCCCAATTTTTCAAATTGCAAGTGACGCAGCATTATTATTATTATTTTTTTTGATGTTGTTGTTCGTGTGGCTGCTGTCAAAGGACGAGTGGGACGGCGTCATGGCCAAGGAGCAAATTGTTTGAGCGGAATTATTTAAAACAAAAACAAAAACAAAAAGAAGCCAGGGGAAGGGGAAGAGAAGGGAAGGGGGGGGGACGAAAAATAAACCGAGAAAACAAACAAGCAAGGAACGAATGATGAAAGTAAGCGACGGACCAACAGAGGAACTGAAGCATTTTTTGTTTTCTGGGTGTGCCACTCTGCGTTCGTGTTAATGTTGCGCCTCTGTGTGTCTGTTTCCCCCTCCCCTCCCCTCCCACACACACACACATATATATATATATTTCCTCGTTTTTCAAACTTTTGGCGTTCTTTTCGTTTGCGCAAAGTTGCGGTGAGGAAGTGTATTGTTGTTGCTGCCGTTTTTTCCTCCAATTTCAGATTATGTCTGCGTATCTGTTTTTTTCTCTCGCTTTGGCGATCTTCACTCATTGGCAGGCGAGCGGGAAACACACAATGAGAGATGGCAACATCTGTGTGAGAGGCACATGTTTGTGCGCCTCTCCCATACACACTCTTACTTTCATGCGTACACTTGTGTATTTGCACGTGTCCCGCTCACTTTTCACTTTCTCTCTTTTCCCATCTGCATACGAGTGTGTACGACAAGCAGGTGTGTATATATAGAGGGCTAACGGAGACCAGAGCGGCTGGGCACCACCATTGCGACGAAACTCCATATAAACAAGGGAAAACAAATCAAATGAGTCCCCTGTCTGCAGAATACAACAGCTGCAAGTTGTGAGGGGAAAAAAAAAGACGTGAGAAGGAAAGAAGAAATGGAAAAAAAGAAGAAATATGCCAGTTGAATCCCAAAGAAAAAGGGTATATAATATATTATATATATATATGTATAATTTGTGTTGCTCTTTTCTGCTTTTTGAGTGTAAGATTTTTTTTTTTGCAGCTTGTTGCTCGCGCGAGCAGAAAAGAGGGGTTTGAAGTGGGAAAAAAGGTGTGTGAATGGCGTTGCACTCTGCTTCTTTACTTTCGTTTTGTTTCCTTCCTTTGGACTTGTATTTGTGCTTCAGGTGCGTCTCAGTGTTTTATCCCTTCTCTCCCTTTTTTTTTTTGCATTGCCTTCTATTGTGCGATGGTCTGACTGTGGGCACCACCTTCCCCGCTATGTCACAGCGAGGTGCGCTTAGTTCAAGGTGTCACTGCACTACATACACACACACACACACATATCTAGTTTCTTACGGTCCGGCAACGAGAGGTGTGTAGGTTTAGGTTCTTTGTTTTTGTCTTTGTTTTTCTTTCTTTGCTGTGCCGTTGTTCACCCTGTGGGAGCGGAGGTGGGTGATTGGCGAGGCGCCATAACACGGTGCGGAGGGGAAGAGCAGAGGAAAAATACAATAAAATATGGGGTCGTACGAGAATGTTGGCTGGAACTTAGTGGAGGAGGCGGTGATATGTGACCGCGGCTACGATGAGGAAACTGTTCTTGCCTCCATCTTGCAGTCGTACTTTATCAAACAGGGATTTGTGGAGTCTCTCCAAACTCTAAATGAGGAGCTGAGAGAACTGCAGACGATGACTGAGACAAGGGTGGCAAAAACAAAAACAGCACCGGCAATAGGAACAAAGGCGGCAGCAGGGTGCCGTGTCAAACGAAAAAGTAAGGGGAATTACGTTAAGCAGGAGGAGCTACACAACGGGGACGCGTCACACGAGGATGAAAAGAACCTCGGTAACGGAAACCGCAAAAATAGCGGCATGATTTACACCGTTCATGAGAATGCCGTTGATTGTGTTGGTGCGGAGACTGTACTGGAGTCAATGAAGAAGCGTAAGCATCTGCAGTTGTTATGTCTAAATGGGCGGTACGAAGAGGCTGCCGCGCTACTTCCTCAAGGAAGCGTTTTTATAGTGAAATTGTTGGCAATGGAGGCTATCAAGCGTGCAAGGAAACAACCCTCAGCTGCGCTACTCTTTCTGTGTGAGGGGGTGGGCCCGCTAGTTGCTGGTCTCTCCGATGCAGCGATGGCACATCGAATTTATATTAACACTTTAGCTGTTATTACGGGTGCCGACACAACGGAGTGGTCAGTACCGTCCCCATGCAAGATTGCCCGCGAAGTGAACGAGTCGCTCTTGGAAGACCACGAGCCAAGTGCGCTTCATGTACTACTTTCTTGGGCCGAGTGGCAGGAGATAGCGACGGCAAAGGGGGAGGACATGGAAGATGGGTAGCGGTAGATGCGGTGTCTTTTGCTCTTCCGTGTGGGGGAAGTACCATGGGCAGTGCCCTGTCGCCTCCTACTTTACCCACAACTTAAACGGTGCGAGGCAACAACAACAGTGACAGAAAAAAAAAAACAGTTGATTTCCTTTAAAATTATTTCATTCTCTTTTGGTTTTCTTTCTTTTTGCGGTGTGTTCCTGCTGGTTTTGTGTGCTCATATCCCTTTTGTTTTGCTTTGCTTTCTTGTTGTTGCGCGTGTGTAAGTGCACTTCTTTTTGTTTGTGTTTTTTTTTCTCTTATTGTGTTATCTGTTGTTGTTGTTTTGTCGTTATTGCTGTTGGGAAGTTGTTCTTTGTGTTTCTACTTATGATGTAGCTGTTATTTATTCCCCACTTTGCGTGACAGAACTGCGGAGGAAGGCTCAGAAGTCCCTGTTCCAACGGTGCCCACATTATTTTCGCGATGCGGGCTCTCGACTCCGCGCACTCCCTTCGCTGCTTCATTCCTACGAAGTAGATATAACTCTCTCTCTCTCTCTCTCTTCATCCCTGTGTGCGTGTGTCTTCACACACTTTCATGTATGGTCTTCTTGGTGTTTTTTTTGTTTTTTTGCCTCTTCCTTCTATTCTATGCTTGTGTTTCTCTCCTGGGTATTGTTGGCTCCATTGTGTCGGGTGGGAGCTCAGAGGAGGATACGCACTAGCAAGAGAGAAGGCTAAATACGGAAAAGGAAGGAAACAGAAAAGGGAAGGGAGAGGGTGTGACCTTTTTTTTTCTTTGTAGACATGTTTGTGATTCCTGCAGTCAATGGGGAAGGGCTCTGCATGGGACGGTATTCGGGTCATTTTCGCCGAGGAGCGAACTTTTAATGTGTTGCTGTGACGCTACTCGTATAGACCGACCCAAGATATCCTTGCTTGTTTCCGTCATAACATGCAAGGAGATGGATATATATATATATATAGCTACCGTTGCGGAGTTTCTGGGCATATTGCAGTTTCACTCATGATCCCCCCTCCCTCATAAATGTGACCCGGTACAATAAGCGTGTGAATAAAAAATGGATTATGCCTCTCCTTGATTGTGTGGTTTTGGTACTTGCTTTTTGTGTTTTTTAAAACACTCTATTTATTATTTTTTTTTGTTTCATTAAAAAGGTGGTTCTTGGTTTTCCCATTCTATCGGCTTCATGGCCGTCGTGCATATCTGCAGACACGGCCAAGACGAAGACAATTTTGAGGGAATTCTGAATGGTCGACGCGATCGCCCGCTGACGCAGCTGGGCCGGGCGCAGGCGACTGCGTTGGCGCGGAGAATAAAGGAAAGCGGAACAACGTATGACGTCATTCTGGCATCACCCCTGCAGCGGGCGAATGAGACTGCCCGCATAATTGGTGAAGCTCTTTCTGTTAAGGTAGAAATAGACAATGAACTCGTGGAGCGTGAATTTGGTGTGCTGACAGGAAAACCCACTGATCAAATCAAAACGTACGCTGGGGAGAATGTCTTGGAAGGGGAAAATGTCTTGTATTTTCTTTCCGTCGATGGGGCGGAACCGTTTGAAGAATGCTATAGCCGTGCCGCCAGTGTGTTACGGCGTGTGGATGACGCCTTCACTGGAAAGCGTGTGTTGCTTGTGTGCCATGGGGACATTGGCAAGATGCTGCAGGCGGTAAGGAAAAACATACCGTGGCGTGAGGGGCTTATGTTATCATATTTTGCCAATACAGATGTTCTGGAGACGTAAAAGAATAAAAAGTGGGAATGCATCAGCATGCCGTCTTTACGATGTGTTGAAGTGTGACCTTTATACATACATAAACGCATACATGGGTGCAATGCATATGCATGGGGGAGAGGGATGAATCTTGGTAGTCTGTGCTAACTTGATATTTTTTTTTTTTTTTGTACTTCTGTCCATATCTCTTTTCCTTACTCTCACTTACTAACTGTGTGTGTCTGCACCTGTGGGCCTTCCTTGAATGTCCTTTGTGTTACCTTATTCTCTTTCTTGTTTGTGGAATTTGCTCATCAGTTGTTGTTGTTGTTTTTGTTTTTTCTGTCTTCTTTCCATCGGTTTTGGTTTTAAACATGTCGAGGTGAAAGGTGGCTTCTTTGCCTGCGTGCGTTAGCAATTGTGATTGTTGTTTTTCATTTTTCTGGGTTTCTTGCCTGCTGCTTTGTGAGGAAAGTGGCGGGTGCCTGACGCACTATTGATGCCACCCAAACGATGGGAGCAGCCTTCTACTATGACTCGTGCGGAGACGCGCAAGGCGGAGCTAGTCCGCTACATCAAGAAGGAGATTGAGGACAACAACTTTCTCGGCCTCGTCGGGGCAGAGTTGGATAACATGGCAAACACGCTGGCGACATGTGACTCGAGGCGGGAATTGTTTGACTGGTGCCAGACGCTGATGGTCGGGGAGACCGTGGCAGCGGAGGTGACGAAGCGGCGTGTTGACCACGGCCCTCCCTTTGATGACATTCCTGCGGCATCTGCGACGACTGTGCCTACTGGGGGGAGCGCCGGTGGAAAGAACAGCAGCGGACGGCAGCTGACAATGGCAAGTAAGAAGGGCGTGAAGAGGAGAAGCACAGCATTGTCGAAGGTGGCAAATAAAAGTGCAGCGGCGGCGTTACAACCGGGCTTCTGTGAATGTGGTTGCTTTGCCACAAAACATGAGCTCCGTGGGAACTGTGCCAACTGTGGACGTATCATATGTGAACAGGAGTCCGATGAGACGTGCTACACCTGCGGGTTGAACCCCTCCACTTGTGTGGCGTATGAAATTAAGGTTCAGGAGGGCCTGATAGGTGCTGCCGCGCTGGAAAAAAATCAGGAAAGTTACGAGGCAGCCGTGATGAAGCTGGATGAACTTTTGCACTACGCAGAGACACGCGCCAAACGCACAAAGGTGATTGACGACCAGACGGCTGTATTTCTGTCCCCAAAGCATGCGTGGATGTCACCAAAGGAGCGCCAAAAGGCAGACGAGGACGAGGCACTTGCAGAACGCCGTCGTAGAGTAGCCGCAATGCACCGCGCTAGAGGGGCGTATAGGGTGCACTTGGATGTCATGAACCAGAACGTCTCTCTGGGGTGCCCAGAAGCTCCAGAGGTGGCGCAGAGTAGTGGTGCCTCTTCTGCGGCGTCTACGAATGATGCTGAAGGCAAAGACGATAACGACGACGACGAAGACGAGGTTGCTGTGGAGGAGACACGCGCGTTGCCGCTTCCTTTTCTCATGCAAAAGATATGGTACAGTTTGGATGGCCGCGTCGACACGTCCTCCGCGCCACGTAGCACCGCCGTCATAAACCCTGAGGGGACTCCTGAGAAAAAACCAGCAGTACGCCGTGTGGTGGAGCTGTCGCGTCGCGTGCAACAGGATTATTATGAAGAGGACGCTCACTTATTCCGGGAAGCACATAGGGAAAGAGTAGATGAAGTTGTTCAGGCTGAGTCCGACGGCCTTGCTGTGGTGTGTATTGGTAATAATGGGGAAAAAGCGACCATAGAGGAAACAGATGCGGCAGCGACGGAAGAGGACGCCTTGGGGGCAACACAACCAACCGGTGTGGTCGACCGCGTCACACCGCTACCCGCGATGCGCATGAATGATGACGGTATCTGTCTCTCTATGCATCAGCCATGGGCAGGACTACTTGTCGCTGGCATCAAAGTCCACGAGGGACGGGTGTGGCCCACCGATTATAGGGGCCGCCTTTGGATACACGCGGCCTCCGCACAGCCGCACGACATTGAAGAAGTGGAGAGACACTACTCAAAGTTCATGACACCTACGCAACGCTTCCCAAAACATTATCCCACACGCGTGTTGCTTGGCTACGTCTACCTCGTGGAGTGTGTCGACAGTGAGGCGTACAAACAGATGTTTACCGAGGAACAACGGCAAGAGGAGTCACCCTTTACTTTTATCTGCACGGAAGCTAAGGCATTGCCGTTTCCGCTGCCCATGAATGGTGATCACAAGTTGTTTCGCTTGGAACACAAGGTGCACACGGCCGCGCGAAAGCAACTTTTAGAGATTATGTGAGAGAGGGGCACTTGAGGCGTTGCCCCTCTTTTTCTTCTGGTTGTGGCTATCTTTGCTTCTCGTCCAGAACCCTCTTCTACAGGTGTCTCCACGACCAGAAGAAATGACACATAGGCGGTGTTCTATAGGCTTTACATCTCTTGAGCTGCCCCTCGTTTTGTTGTTGTTGTTTTTTTGTCTTTTTCCGCTTTGAGTTCATGTACCACGTATTTGACTGGTGCTCGACGTATTGTTCATGCTTCTGTTTCAACTATCGTGGGCAGTGTGCCTGTCTTTTACTATTCTCAACGTACCGCTCTTCTTCGTTTATTTTCTCTTTTTATGTTGGGTTTTTCCGCTTTTGGCTTGTTTTGTGTGTGCACCCCCCTCCTGGCAATTCGTTCCATGCTTTTTGTGTGCGCGCACGTGCGTGTGTCCACTTCCACCCACCCGAATGCATACAACACATACAGAACGAGAAAGAGTGTGAGGATTGAGTTTGTTGCGGGAGGGCGCGAGGGGGAGTTATGAGCAAGCGTGAGAGGGAGGGCAGTGGGAGCAGCACCAGCTCCTCTGATTCGCTTTTCTATTCTTCCCGCGGTTATAGGAGGGACACAAGCGGAAAGAAGACACATATAAGCCTAAACAAGAAGGGTAGTGACAGTAACAGTAACGGCGGCGACGACGCCAAACCTAAGGCGGCCGCCGCTACATGGGAAGAGCTTCTCGCGGAGCGCAAAGCTCTGTTGGAGACTCGGGATAAGGAGGTATCGTTGTTGGAGCAACGGCGTTCCGGCATAGATAGCAGCAGCGACTACGATGATGACGGCGATGACAAAGGTGGGGATGCCCATAATAAACACGGGGGCAACGCACAGGTGTTGCAGGGCCATCAAAAGGCTTCTACTGGCATGGCACTACGTGTAGATGAAAATGTCGTTTTCAGCGACGAGGACTCCAGTGATGATCCGTTTGGAGGATCCGCGTCCACGCTAAGCGAGGGCGAAACAGACGGCAGTGACAATGACAAGAATATTACGGACTTCCGCGAGCGGCTACTTGCACACGTCCAGGCCACCAGTGCGGCAAAGCGAGTTGATGGTGCAGCCCCAACCGTCAGTGATGTAACACCTGCACACGCCTTGCAGCACCTGAAGGAGGAGTTGATGAAACCTGTGATGCCAACCACGCTCACAGTTGTGAGTGCAACCGATGAGTCACACGACCTCATATCAGAGCTTGTGTCAGCCAAGCTTCCGCCACCTCCTCCTGAGGATGTGAGGCGTCTGCGTAAGTTGCAGTACGTAGACCACAACACGGTGCAATATCCGCACATTCGCAAGGAGTTTTACATTGCCTCTCCAGACGTCAAGAACCTTGGTGCGGATGAGTTAAAACGGTTATTAAAGGAGTTGGATGGGGCAAAAGTGCGTGGACGCAACCCACCGCGTCCGATGCGTACTTGGAATGGTTCTGGCCTGCCAGATTCCGTTCTTGAGGTGCTTGTGCAGGAAGGGTTTGAGCAGCCATTTGCTGTGCAGTCTCTCGGTTCTGCAGCCTTGATGGGCGGTCGTGACTTGCTCGTCACCGCTAAAACAGGCTCTGGGAAGACACTCGCCTACCTTCTGCCGCTGATTCGTCATTGTGTCGGGCAAGAGCCATGTGGAAAGGGTGAGGGCCCTATTGGTCTTATTCTTGTACCAACACGTGAATTGGCTGTGCAAATTGTTCAACTGGCAGGAAAACTTTGTGTGGCTGCCAAGCTGAGACTCGTGTCTGCGTACGGTTTAACGCCTCTTGCAGAGAACATAAAACAATGCCGAACAGGATGTGAAGTCATGGTGTGCACCCCAGGTCGACTTTTGGATCTTCTTACTGTTAATGGAGGAGGCGCAGTTTCGTTGAGACGTGTATCGTTTGTTGTGATTGATGAGGCGGACCGCATGTTCGACAGTGGCTTCATGGAACACGTGGAGGCCTTTTTAAGGAATATTCGTCCCGACCGACAAATCGCGCTTATTAGCGCAACCATGCCTAAGGAACTAAGGAAAATTGTCATACGCCACCTGCAAGATCCAGTGGAGATTACAGTGGGGGGCAAACCTTCTCCGGCTTCAAATGTCGAGCAGCGCTTCTTTTTCTTTGACGAAGAAGTGTATGAGGTGGAGGAGGCAAATCGCACAGAGGATAAGAAATTTTTGAAGTTGCTGCAAATTCTCGGCGACGAGGGTGGCAATGGGCAGCACCTCACTGTTATCTTTGCTCAACGGAAGGAAGAATGTGATGAGCTTTTTGCACGTCTCTCTGCATGTGGCTATCAAAGGCGTCTTGCCATTCTTTATAGTGGGATGGATCCACTGGACCGTGAGTTTGCCTTGGAGCACTTTGCCCCAGACAATCAGTTTATTCTTATTGCAACAGGGGTGGCGGAACGGGGCCTTGACATTCCCTACTTGGAGCTCGTGATTAACTACACCCTCCCAGACCACTACGAGGCTTATGTGCATCGCATAGGCCGCACCGGTCGTGCTGGGAAGAAGGGTAAGGCGGTAAGCTTTTTTATGCGCGGGAAGGATGATGACCTATCCGTGGACCTCTGTGAGGGCCTTGAACGTGCCCAACAGCAGGTGCCGGAGGAGTTATATGAAATTGCGGCAAAGTTACGGGAGAAACGTAAGGAAGGCATTGTGCAGCACAACACTGGTTTTTACCGGGGTTACATGAAGGCAAAAAAGCTGCGCTTTACGGATCGTGGTCAGAAGGAGCAGTTCAAGGCGGCAGCACGGGCGGCAGGGCTTGAAGAGTACTTATCAGCTAGCTCCTGCACAGATTCAGATTTATCTGACAGCGATGAAGATGGAAGAGATGGCGATATCGAAATTGTTGCAGTACATGAAGATGGTACGCGAAATGGCGGCGGTGGCGGTGAAGTGGGATCCACGGCCCTCACACTTCACAGGGGCGCTGGCCAGCTGACGCTTTCCTCTCAGCATCTAAAAGAGCAACAGGAACGTGTTGCCTCCGCACTCGCATACGCGCGGAAGACAACAGACTCTGTTGTAGATCCTTCCTCTACCTGTGCCCGTTTCGAGGCCGAGTACCCCATCAACGACCTTCCCGAGCGTGTTCGGCTCCGGATGCAGAGCGCGGCCTTATTGCGTTCTGTGCAGGAGGACACAGGAACGACGATTGTCCGCAAAGGTGTGTTTTTCGATCGCAAGTACAAACACTCCCACCGCCTGCGCGAGGGTGTGCGGCCACTATACCTGCTGCTCATAGGAAAGACGGTGGAGTCTGTGCGTGATGCAGTGAAGAAACTGCACGATATCCAGGCTGAGGCGCATAGCCGAATTCAGCAGAAGGCGTCCTCTCTCGGGGCTCAGTTGTAGAGAGAAAGCCAAACAGGGTGGGAAGGGAATGATAAACTCTCGGTCTCCCCACCAAAAAGAAAAAAAAATGTGATGTGATGGAGAAGAGTGAGTACAGATTAGCAACCAAAGAGGGAACGCGTAGGTGAGCGTGTGGGCAATTTCTTTACAATATTTGAATGTCGCTTGTTTGATGTTATTGTTGTTGTCTACGCCCTGTTGGATGCAATATAAATAATTGTTTGTGTGTTTTTTTTGTTTTATTGTTACGTTCTTTGCATCGCTTCGCTTTCTTTATGTTTCTTTGCAAGCTGCTGATGGTATGGTGTGGGTTGGCTACACTCGACGCTTTTTTTTTTCTTGTCCTTTGCTGGATGACGTCTACTGCTTTTGCGCCTGAACACACTTCTCTCGTCACTTGCGGTGTGATTCTCCGTCTCTGTCTGACTCCCTAAGTGTGTGTGGATGTATCTGCTTATCTAAGGTGGGTCGTTTCTCGTGTCGTTTTTGTTTTTGTCTTTTGGTGCCTGTTGGCGTGTCACTTGTTTTCATTTGATCACTTCTGTGTCGTTTTACTGTTGCCGCAGTCAAGTCTGTTGCCCTTATAACGGTTGGTTATTAGCTTTATTTTTCTGATCCCTGCCTGGTACGGCTACTGTCAGTACATTGCCGCTGCGGACCTGCGATGGCAGAGGCGACACGGGTGGCGAGTCAGATTCTATTTCAGAACTCCCTGGCAGAGGTGGTGCGGAAGCTGCGCTCAGCCTCCAAGAGCGAGGCGGATGTGATTGAGCAATGCATCGCAGAGACGCGAAAGGAGATTTCCTCTACGGTGCAGAGCGTGAAGGTTACGGCGGTGCTGAAGGCGGTGTATTTTTCCATGCTTGGCTACTCCGCGGCCTACGGCGCATTTAACATTATTGAGGTAATGGCTGATAGATTGTTTGCTAACAAGCGCATTGGATATATGGCGGCTTGCATCACCTTTACCCCAAAGACAGACGTTTTGCCGCTCCTTACAGCCTTATTGAAGCGCGACCTTGCAAGTGCGAATCAGTACGAAGTGGGATTTGCACTTTATTGCATCTCCTCTCTCTGTACGAGAGACCTTGCGAGGGACCTTGTCGTTGACGTTGTAAATCTGCTGAATCATCCACGCAACTACGTCCGCAAGAAGGCGGTGCTTAGTTTATATCGTGTATTCTTTGAGTACCCCGACGCACTGAGGCCAACGTACCCACAACTGAAGGAAAAACTGGATGATCACAGCGAACGTTGCGATAACGACCCTTCCGTGCGTGGGGCTGTTGTATGCATCCTGTGCGAACTGGCCCGCCGCAATCCAGCCAATTTTATTGGGCTTGCTGTTCCATTTTTTTCGATGTTGTCCACCGTGCACAGCAACTGGACGTTGATTAAAATTGTAAAGGTTTTTGGCTACTTTGCTCCACTCGAGCCTCGTCTGGGGAAGAAGCTCGTGGAGCCAATAACCAATCTCATTCATGCAACAGGAGCGAAGTCGGTTCAATACGAATGCATTTTTGCTGTAGCCAATGGCATGAGCAAAGTGGCGTCCTTGACGAAACTGGCAGCAGAGAAAATGAAACTGTTTGTGGAGGATGCAGATCAAAACTTAAAGTACATGGGACTTGACGCCATGTCTCGTATGATGCGTGAGAATCCGAAGCTTCTCAGTGATCAACGGGATGTTATTCTTGCGTGTCTTGATGACATGGATGTCACCATCCGCCGCAAGGCGCTTGAACTTTTGCAAGGGTTGGTGACGAAGAAGAACATTGTGTCTACTATCAATAGCATGATGGAGCGGCGTGTGCGTTCTCCGCCGGATGAGGACTGGTCAAACCGCGTTATTGCCACCGTTATTGAGGTTGCTCAGATCAATGACTATAGTCTGTTGCAAGACTTTGAATGGTACTTTGGTGTTTTGCTTGACATCAGTCTCATGAATCTAACCTGCTATAAGCATGGTGCTCTCGTGCAGCGTGAGCTTGTGACGGTGCTGGCGCGGGTGAACGCGGTGCGGCAGTTTGGTGTTCAATCCATCAGTGAACTGCTCTGTAATTCAACTCTGCTTAACTGTGACGCCACGCGCTCAACACAGTGGGAGATTATCAAGGCAGCCGCCTTCCTCTGCGGGGAGTATCCATATTGGCTACGCGATAAGCGATTGACATGCGAGCGACTTTTAAGTAATCACATTAGTGCGATGCACCCTGAGGCACAGGTGGCGTGTATCACCGCGGTGGGAAAAATAGCAGCGTATACTCATCAGCCATGTCCGCGTCATCTTGCGTTGTCACACGGGGAGGAAGAATTAAGCTTACCAGATGATCCTGTGACCGATGCCGAATTACTCACGGTAATTCTCGCACAACACGTAAAAGAAAAGGAAAATGACGACGGTGACGAGGACACGAAGCCTGAGGAGTGTACTGGACTACAGCTATTTCGTCATAGCATTTACCCGGATGTACAGGAGCGGGCCCAATTGGTTTTCTACCACGTCCTCACGAACCCGGATGTCGGTCCAAGCCTCTACGTGGAGGAGCTGTTATCTGTTGCCGTGGGGGCGCAGGATGCGGTGGTGCCGCCTGAGGATCTTGACCTTGACGAGCCCTTCTGCTCCCCCCTCCCACAGCTGCTGCGCCTGTCCGATAGTGATGATGGGGGCAACACGGACAATGAGGACGATGAGCTTGGATTTTTGGGTTCCGGCGCAGCGAAACGCCAGCGGCAGCAAGAGAAGGAAAAACATGGCGAGGTGGCAGCGTTTTACATCAAAGGTATGACACGCACGCGGGAGGAGTTGCCGACGGATGTGCAAGTGGAGACTGTCACGGCGGCATCCCCGCAGTCCCACAGCGTCAGTTCACACCTGCCACACAAGACTCATTCCATAAACCGTGAGCTTTCACGTCCGTCAAATTATGTCGCAGCGGCTTCCACACGACGACCCAAGGAAGAAATAGAGGAGGATGAGGCCACCAAAAAATTTCGCAATGTTGATGTCACGCGGGCTCTTACGGTCGATGAGAAACTTCCAGAGACAATACCTTACACGCAACTACTACAGCTTCGTGCCTCTGCAGTAGGTGAAAAAGAAGATCTACAAGCAGCAGCGGCGGCCGCCGTGTTTGACCCTATTGTGCTATTAGAAGAACGGTACTTGCGTGTCACAGCATATGTAGACTCGTGCCATGTTCGTAAGGAAGGCATCTTGCTTGCGCTCGATGTGGAGGTGTCTAACTTGGCAAGTAGCAGCAGCACGTATAACCTCAGGCTTTGCATTCAGTATGATGAAGATAACTTTACGCAGCAGGGCGTGCGGTTGGAGTTACGTGACGCCAACGATGCAAACAACAACAACACGACCAATAATAATCGAAACTGTGGTGACAAGAAGAATAACAAGAGTGGGGACCCCAACCAGAAGCAGGAGGAGGTGGTGGAAGAGAGTGGAGAGAGCAGCTGCGTAGGTGTGTGTGTCGCAGAGCGCGTGAAGGGATCTACGGCCGTACGTAGGAAGCTGGGTGTTAGATTTCTTTCGCAGCTCCCGGCCTCTCTTGTCAAACCCCTCACCTTGAATCTGACGTACACGCGAGGCAAGAAGCCAGTGGCTGCCACGCTACAGCTACCTCTATGTTATCCCTATTTTGCGAAGGTGCCAAAGGACATCACACCCACGGAATTCAGAGAGACAATCCTTGGGAAGTTCCTTGTGGCGGCGCCGCTGGTCACCGGACTTGTTGATGTCAATTTGAGTCGTGTGCCACTCGCACTGCCTCTGATACTGCCGAAACTGAGGCTGAGAACCGTTGAAGTATTCAGGGATATCGCATCATTTCATGGTGTGCTGCATGCACGGAAGTCGACGGTGGAGAACGCACACGTCGCCGTGCTTCTGCGCGAGGAAACGGTGGAGGAAGGTAGGAAGGGGGTAAGTATCGCGGTGAAGGCCCATCAGACATGTTTGGCAGAGTCGTTGGTGCAGGAGATTGCCTCACGCATGATGCTGGAGGCTTCTTAACATGTGTGAGTGTGTAGGGATTTTTTTTTGTATTCCTTCACTTGGTTTACCTAAGTCAATTGTATCACCCACTCAGCCTTTTTTGTGTTTTTGTTTTTGAGTGCACGCCTTTCCGCATGACAGTATAGATAGGGACATTGAGTACACAGCCCCCCCCCCNCCCCCACCACCACACACACACTATATATATATATATATA